AGTTTTTTCTTCTGAAATTTCCCAAAGTAAAATTCCAAAGCTATAAACTTCACATTTATTATTGTATTTGAAGCCTGGAGTCCTCTGTAATATTTCAGGAGCTCAGTACCGAATTTGTTCTAAATTATGGCTTTGATTCAGCGTATCTGCTTTATATGAACGACTTAATTTAAAATTCGTAAGTTTTGCTGTATTATTATTTGTGATCAATACATTCTCAGCTCTAATATCACGATGTAAAATCTAAAAAAAAAAATTTCAAAAAAAAAATAATTGAAATAACGACTAACATAAATTTAATATTTTACCTCTACAGTTCTTAAAAAATTCAATTCACGAGCAATATCGAGGGATACGCGTAATTTTAGCTTGGTATCAAATGAATTTTTATTATTTGTATAAAATTCACGTAAATTTCCATGTTCAGCCCATTCAGTTACTAAATACCATTTATTTTCATAATTAGTAAGACCGTAAAATTTTATTATATTCTGCCAATTGTGAAGTTCTCTAAGAATTATAACTTGATTTTGTACGCTAATTTTGTTTTCCTCAGATATACTTTTAAATGCATATTCTTCTTCTTCATTTTTTGCACTAACCCATTTAGTCACAATCCCATCCTTACGTGGTTTCTTGTCAGTTTTTTTGTAATCAGAAAATATTAATTGATGTGCTTGAAAAATTTCATCAATTTTCATTTGATATTTTTTTTGGCTATATTCATTATCCATTTGCTTATCCAAAAAACTTTCCATCGTGGTTTTCATTATACTGATTTTATTGATTTTTGAAATCATTTCTTCTTTGTGTTTGTCGTCAACTCCAACTATTTGTCCAAAATACTAAAATTACAGAGATAGTTAATTATGTTATATGCATAATGTAAAAAATAATGTTAAGCTTACTTTATTTAAATCATCTTGATCGGCTTTTAAGTTTTGTTCATCTTCTTCAGGACGAATTTTATCCTTTATCGTAGTGGTAAAATTTGTTGCATCTATTTTGATTATACAAACGTCAAAATCTCCGCATAATTCTTTAAGAGCTTTCTCTATATTTTCTGGTAGTATATATTTTAATTTTAACAAAGTTATCATTTGAGAAATATTTTTCATAAATTTTTTAATATTTGTTATAATAGTAATTAAATTTTGCAAATGTAGATAATTATTTCCATTAAAATATTCTTGATTATT